GATAGATAGATAGATAGATAGATAGATAGATAGATAGATAGATAGATCCATCAGCTGATTAGCTATTTGAATCTCTCTGCCTTTTAGTCTAGCGTTTGGTTTTTGCCAACTCCAGAATCTTCATCTGGATGTTGTGGCTGAAAGGCATCACAAAATTGTCAAAGTCCACTTCAAGGGATACGCGTTCCCTCTGTCTCTCTATTTTTGACATCAGCTGGCTGGTAGTGGGCGGCTTCCCCCAAACCTAAGGAAGGGACACAAGTCAGTCTGATTAAAGATTCAGTTCAGCTTTCTAAATTTGTGTAAACGTATGATTGTAATGCATTGGTGTGTCAGAATCTCAATGTTTGATATATCATACTGCAGCAGTCTCACAGTAAAAACTGAATATATTCTATGATTCCACTCATTTATGTGTCAGTAGATAGAAAAATCATCTATAAGCAAATCCCACATTGAAACAAACGGTCCCAAACACTTATCACACCTACCGTTTTTGGCACAAAGGTGATGTCCACAGTGTTAGTTTGCCCTTCAGTGATCATTGAGTTTTGCAGGATGATGCTCTTTGAATCCATCTGTGTGGTTTTTCCTGATGTTGATGTATCTTTGCGCACTGACCCTTCTGAAGCAGCACTCTGAAGAGAAAACAAGTTATTTGAAATATTCTACATCTTAAGACAGGAAATGCAAAGGATAGAGAAGGAAAAATGCATCCTGCTAAGAGAGAATAAGGCAAATAAATGGCTGGAAACTCACATTTGAGGAAATTACTAGTCAAATAAATTCTAATGAGGGGGTCACTATTTTCTTTAAATAAATAAATGCAAACAGAAACATTTTTAGGTTTAAAATGTCTGATATGAACAGTAAAACTATGAATTGTCCAACTGAACACTTATTACTTTCCTTGCCTGAAGATGAACATCCTCATCAACCTGCAGCTCTTTCTTGTTGCTGGTGCCAGACTGGAATACAACCAAAGGCTGCTTATCGCTGTGATATGTCCTCTGAACCTGGCTATCCCTCTGATTTTGCCATCACCTACTTTAAACAAACTTTTCAATACAGTCAAATGCTCTGGGTGTCTTTTTTTTTCCACCTAGGGAGGTCAAAATTATCTTAAGGACTTAAGGATTTTGTTTTATTCTATACTTAGGGTCACAGAGAATAATGCCTTTTATTGACATCTCATCAACAGTAATAAGTCAAAAGAAAATAACTTAATTACTTGACTGAATATGCAGAAGTGGGTTTGTTAAATCAGTTGGGCATACGATATATTGTTAACACAATGTGGTACAAAGTATTTATCACTCAAAAACAGGATTTTTGTATCTGGATTATCTATAGAAGTACTTCTCTTTAAAATAAGAATGTGTATTGTAGGTTTTGCTAAGTTGACCTCACAAGGTATTGTTCTACATATAACATAAGTCTGTCAGTCAAAGAAGATTGATGTTTACTCGGTTTTATCAGAATGTTAGCAATTAATTAGTCATAAATTCCAGACCAAAGTAGATCCCTAAAAGTGGACCAAGATGTGTCTGTGTTTTTGTAGGGAATAATACTCAGTGGTTAGTCAGACCTCACAGTGCCTTATGTGCTTTACTTCCTACAATGAGGTTATTTTCTGCCTCTTAAACTACTGCCTGTAGCATCACTGACTTTTAATATTTCCCTAAGTTATGCCATCAAAGCCATTACTGCTTTTGGAATCTTCATAAAAATTTCTCACCTTCTTGAAGAGATGCAAACTGAAGCAGTGTCTATTACTTGCAACATGACACATTTAGTGTAATTTGTTTACAAATTCTAAAATTAATCAGATCCCTTCAGTTTGGGTTTCCCCACAGCCAGATGAGAAGCAATGTGAAGCAATGTGTTTGTAGATGTAGATGTACTTTACTTTCGTATAATTTCTTGGTCACAATATGTTGAGTCATCTCATGCAACAATGTGTTGGCAGTGGATATCTACATTTTGGCAACTGGTAAGCAAAAGCTACCAGTAACACCTAAGTACTGGCAAGCATGCCCTTTTTTCCACAAAAGAAAAAATGTATAGTGTGAAATTCAAATTCAAAACCAAGTATAACTAACTTATCAACAAATGAGTGAAGAGAAAAGGTTTTAATTGTAATTTGTGGTGAGATCATAGATGACTGTTATAAAGTTACTTGACCTTTTTTGCAGCAGGCTTTTGGGATTTACCCCCCTTTCCTTTTGATGCGTCTTTTGATTTAGGCGTAGAATCCATCTTGTCTTTGACCAAGCTGCATATTTTAGAGTCTCCAAAAGCTAGTGCGATGTCATGGCAATCTTGTCCTGAATAAGAAATAAAACACAGAATTACTGTTTTCTTAGGAAGAAAAAGGACATCTTAAATACATGTACATGTTTTCTGGCATATTAGGATCCAAAAAGAGCTCAAGTTTAATCCTCACCATAAATGACAAACATTCAACAACAATAGAAGGATTTAAAAGGGAGACCTTTCTTGTTCTCTGCATTCACATTGGCTCCCGCCTTAATGAGGCAGCTCACACACGAAGGTTTCGAGCTCTCGATGGCCCTCATGAGAGGCGTGCCTCCACCCAGGGCCTCAGCATTGACAGAGGCGCCGGCCTTGATCAGAAGTTCAACAATCTCCACTTGTCCTGCATTGGCCGCATGGTGCAGGGGTGTCCAGAAAAACTGGTCACACGCATTGACATCAGCTCTGTCAGGATAAGGAATATGATATATTTAGAGATGCCTAAATACAAAGACAATGGACATAAGATCTTCTACCAACCCCATTACTGAAAGGTGTCAGTTCCAAATTTAAGGCCTGTACTTTCAGATGATAATCTACTTTTAAAATATTGTTTAAAGACATTTTTTATTTGGCCAAACAATCAAAATATTAATTGTATTTCCCATACCATTAATCAAAAGTGAAGTAAGAAATAACCAAATCACTATTCCAAAAATATTAGGAGATATTTTCAGGAGTGAAACATTAAATACAATATATGTAATATTTATGAAATACTGAAAGCGAGATCTTACAGTTTAGTAGAGAAGCGGAACAAAGCACAAATCAGGCTGGATCTAAACTTTGAGAACCTACAGGAGCTAACTCACCCGTGACTGAGAAGGTACTGAACCACCTCGTAGTTGCCACAGGAGCAGGCCACCATCAGTGGTGTCTTGTAAAACTGATCGTGAACATCCACCGGTACCCCCTGGCTGAAAGCCAGGTCTAGAGTTTCCAAATTGGCACTTTTCACACAGTAGTTGATATTGATGTATGCCTTGTCAGGCTTTTCGATGTACCACCCTGAATCGTTAATTATGGGATGTTGCGGTGGGTGATTACTGTCAAATCTGTGAATGTCTGAGCAGTTGTAGAACATCTCAATCATGAAGCGGGGAGGGCCTCCGTCCGGCCGGCGGACCATGAGATCTGGAGGAACGGTGCAAACGGGCATGGGGAGGACAAATTTACCCTTCTTCTTCCCTCCTTTCCCCCCCTTTTCCCCCTTTTTCTTTTTAGGCATATAGGAGGAAAGGAGAAAGGCTTTCTTGATATATTTGACACCTTTGATGAAGTCAGTGATGTTGATACACCCATCCCCTTTCTTGTCATGGGCTGAGATGACGGTTTGAAGCTGGTCTAGGACAACTGGAGCTTGTAGCTCCTCGAGCACAGAAATAAACGTGTCTGTGTCAACTGTTTCGGCTTTTTCGCCAATGGCTTGCCATAATTCGTCCTCATATTCAAAAGACCAGTCATGGAGTGTCAGGGCCCAGACATCTGACAGAAGGTTTCCACCACCGGATTTGTTGCCTTTCCCAAACACCCTTTCCGCTTTCCTCAGCTCCTTGGCTGCTGCTTTGTGACCGGAGTCTTTGGCAATCTGACGAGGCAGCAAGCCTTCCTGGTTCTTCAGTTTCGGATTACAACCTGAAAACAGGGTTTTTACAAAAATAGAAATACAGGGCAGAGTTACCTAATGTTATTTGAGATATGTTTGTATCTGAATATCTTTATGTTTGATTCAATTTCCTGGCCCTTGGCTTCATGTGTATCAGAGCTGATACTAAAGCGTGTAATATCCAAATACAAAAGAAGGGTTCTTTATCTGGTAACATAAGACATTAGGAGAAACATTCACAGAGCTGTCTTTTCCTAAAAGACCCAAATAAGCTCTAATTTGCTGCATTGGCATCAAGTTTTTAGTAAACAATACCTCTCTGAGCGAGGAACTTGCAGCAGTTAGCATTTCCTATGGCAGCTGCGTAGTGTAAAGGTGTGCAGCTGTCTTGGTTGATCACTCCCATATCTGCTGAGTATGCAGACAGCAACTGAATTATCTGTAAGATAAAAAAACATCAAGGAGTCGCAGATTCCTATATCTCAAGAGCTGCCTGGGCATCACTAAGTTATATAACAATTAAGTCTTTGCATAACATATTTATAGAGTTCAAAACGGCTCAACTTGACAGAAAAATGTTTTAATAATTACCCAGGTACTCAAATCGTAGTAACATCAACTACACATTCATAAGTTTATGTCTGAACAGAATGTAATTTCTTATTTTAATGATATCCTGCTACTGCATGTTTGAGCATTGACTTCACCTCAAAAAACCCCCACATGGCTGCGTAGTGAACTGCAGTGAAGCGTTTCTTGTCCTGGGAGTTTGGGTTTCCCCCTCTCCTGAGAATTGTTCTAACAAGCTGCAAGGAGCCTGCTTTTACTGCTTCCATTAACGCTGTGGCACCTGTTTCCTGAGGAGAGTGAAAGGAGAGGAGTGGAGATGATATATATCACAAGCTCACTGTCTTTTTTAGAAAATCATTTTCTGTTTCTCTATCTCTATAGACTATTTCTACCTTATTTGTGGCATTGGGGTCGGACCCCGCGTCCAGCATGATGAGACACAAAGGGGTGCACACATGGGCTTTTTCACACATAAGCTGGAAGACGTGAATCCCGTCTGTTGATATGTTGTTTGGATCTGCTTGGCTCTTCAGCGCTACCTGCAGGCAGTGGGTGTGGCGCTTGGTGGGGTAGATGCAGTAGAAAAGCACACCTGAGTTCACGTATGAAGGACACACACAAGTGCACCGGTTTAACAGAAATTACTTTTCTCTCTCTGGCTGAAAGCTTAAAGAAAATGCAGTAGAAAAAAATAATAACAACAAAAAGAAAGACAGAAACCTTGAAATTTTTGTTAAAACATTAAGAAACAGACAAAAAAAAACAAAAAAAACACACAAAATGTCCAAATTCCTGATTTTGATATCATTTAGAACTTACTGCCATACTTACTTTGGAAGTATCACATAAGACCCCCAAAGCTGGTTATGACTCCCTTTTATACATTTATCTTCGCTTATTTTCTTTTGAGTCAAAATGTAATCACAGAAATCTGTAATTAATATTTGTAATTCCACTGAAAGCAACAAGTAAGGGCTAAGAGAAATAGCTATTAATTTTATCCAAATGTCAAGCAGACTGTGGTTGTATCACAGGTTTTTAAATGGTTTCAAATGCTACAGTCACTGAGAGAGGTTCTTTAACTTCTGTAGGGAAGTCAAGGGGCTTGAACGCACTTTCATCTGCTGCTTTACAAATGACGAAAGTGCTGCAGACTTTATTATGAGTGCGGTCATTTGATTTACTATCATATCCATGACAGCCAGCGACAGATCTTACCTCTGCTAAGCACAACAAATAATTTGCTTGAACCAATGCACACAGGATTGAATAAGTAAAAGAGTAAAAAAACAAAAAAAAAAATCACATCAATGTTCTTCAAACCTTAGCCCATTACTAAGAATACTAGCACTCAACTGAGCAATGACAATGTCGACCTGAAAAACCCTTTAGGTAACTACAATTCCTTAAAAACAGAAATATGGCCAGATAAAATATGCTCGAGATAATTGCCTGAAATCATGCAGACAGTAATAAACTCTTTGACTACTACAAGATCCGTGAAGGGAATATCTGTATGTGCATTCTGTGACTGGGTTAAACCAGCCTCTGCGGAGAGCACAGTGATATCAGGTTACTGTACATGTGAGGATCCCCATTAGGACTTGATCTGTAATTAGACGTATCCGTGGGGCCAGACATGCAAACACACCCAAACATGTACATATACATACTGGATAACACACAGCGAGTAATAATACAAAAATACAATACAATAATAATAATACATAATTCAAGTGATTAGCCTACTATGATCTATTCAAATACAAATAAACACAAACAATGTTCTGCTCTCCATCTTTTAGTTGCTCCCTCCCAGAGGATGGTCTCTTATGATACCTGCTGGCCTGAGCTCACTGAAATTGGGGAAATTATTAAGATTAGAGGAACTTTAGCTTTTCCAATTTTAGTTTTCTGGGATACTTGTACCTCATTAATAGGTAAACAGAGGCGACATGCATTTTCATGAGATGTAAGACAACACAAGGGATTCAGCTAACATAACTTGAGAAGGAGAACACTTCTATTTGGGACATGGAAACTTCAAGCTCAAGTCAAGACAAGTCAGTCAAACCAAAGCTCTTTCATGACCTCATTCAAATCAGAAAATTAAAGGAAAACTGAACTGTAAATGCATTCTCATTGGACATTGTGGGCTCTAACTTGTTCCTGAGTGTTTATACAACTTCTCAACGCTGGAGTTATATACGATATTCAATGACAACTAAAAGTAAGATAAGACTTGGATGGAAAAAACTGAGAGAAAATTCAAGAAGAGATTCTGATTCTGAAAAAAAAAAACTGTCGCTGAGAGTTGAAAAGAAATTCAACAAATCAGATCAGGAAATAATTAATCGTCTTTCATACATCATCAAAACATTATCAACATTTAAATAAACAGAGTGACATAGATTCCCTGTATCCCTTCTCCAGCATCTTTAGTCAACAGGGCTTATCTCCTTTGTTCTTTTGTGAAATATCTGAATGACTGGAAAATGAATGTCCACTCATACCACAACACAGGAAAACATCTCTGAAACATTTCAAGACTCCCCATACAGCTATGCATAAACAGCTGTAGAGTCTGACTTTGTGGTAAACATTGACACCTGTAATGTCACATGTAATCTGTAATTCACATTAAAAGAAAAGAAATAGCAGAGCAGAGGTATCTTAAGAATGTAATTACTTATGTGCTTCGGTGACTTTTGCATACAAGAGTGAGTGATCTAAACACCTTCATAGGCCTTCATATCTTATCCATCCATCTATTTACTAAAAGCTTCCTATGCATATGAATTATCCACAAATCTTTCCCGAAACTGAAATTCTTTTTTTTTCACACAGGTTCACATATTTACAGATGTGGTAAGTCATGTCTTTTACAATGTACCTTTGCCCTCCGCATCCACGAGCCCCAGGTCAGCCTCATTCTCTGCCAACAGAGCTACAATAACTTCATTGCCCAACTCAGCAGCCAACATAATTGGAGTACGTCCCCTCTTGTCCTGGACATCAGGCTGTGCTCCATGAGACAGAAGGAAGCCAACAAGGTCTGTAAAAAGACAAATTATGAAGAAACACGTGCTATTACATTACTTTTATCAAAACTTTATGAACTGCATCAATTGTTTTGGATGACAGAAAGAATGTGGAAACTCATCACAAAAAGAATAGGAAACGAGTGCTCTCCATGACTATCAAAGACATGGATTGACATTTAGCTTTGATAAATTTGGCACAAATATCCACAATTTTGCTATTAAACAGCCCTTTCAATCAGTTTTTAAGATAACAGACATTTTTCTGGCAGTTATGTTCTCAATCTGATGCAAAAATGACTTAAACAAAGGTTTCTAGGGTTGTAACACTATCAAATGACTTTCCACTTATGTTTTGTGGTGAGACTTGTTGCAGAAATGTTTCACTTGATCAAATGTAACTTAATCTCTGAACCAACAAACTGGTCCACAACAGGCTATTTTAGCCTCTTCTGTACTTGAACAGACTATGTTATCTGAAGCAAAAATGTGTTCTAGTACCGTGATTGTTTGCCGAAACCGCCATGTGAAGAACCCCAATGCCATCCTGTGGCTCTATGAGATTGATGAGGTTTTTCACTCCAAAGTTCACAATCTTCTCAATCTGCACCTTGTCTCCTTCACGGACATACTGCAGCAGGCGGTAGATCTGCAGAACATGGAGGCGGCCCTGCGCCACTCTGCCACTCATTCTGCTTTTGCTGAGAAGCTGATGGAAAAACCAGGACACGCTGTGACTTCCTGGCAAAAAAATGTAAAGATTTTTCCAACAAAGAATGTAAAAAAAATGGAAGGTTTTCTCTTGAACAGCTAAATTTCTTCCCCAGAGTCCAATCTTGACAAGTCTACATTTATGAAATGCCACTTAGTGGAGCTGTGTGGAGCTGCTATATTGTATTAAAATAGAATAGAATAGAATAAAATAGAATAGAATAGAATGGGATATGCATTCATCCTCCATGGGAGTAAGAAATATGAATCAATTTACCATAATTTGAACTCAGATATTCCTGATGTGCAGTAACTAAATAATTATCTGCCCTCTATAAGCTTCGTTGTAGTTCTTCTCTGGGAAATATTACTGTTTTTAACGTTTAACAAACTATTTTTTTTGTTTTACAAATTTCTTTTAATTGTTTTGACTAATGACAAGGTTTAAAAAGTAGTTTTCATAAGGATAATACAAAAAATCAACAACAGTTGAACAATGCATAAGTATGGATTGATTATCAGGTTAGCTCGCCACCGTCTTTGCACGAGTTTCACGCGCGCCTTACCCACGAAAGAGATCTCTCACAATTCTTATTGCCCGATCCGGCAGGTCTGATCAGCTGGTAGCTGCATCTGCCCCGGGTTTCTCCGTAAAAGTTTTGATCCAAACTTTAAAGCACAACCATTCACTTAGTGCGAGACACAGGAAGGAAACAAAAGCCAGCTCCATGGCAACGGAACGCATTTAAATCCCGGGAAGTCGGTGCCGCTTTCAGGGGCTGATGATGAGCTCCGTAATTCTACACTGTCGCGAAATAGATGCCTACTTCGACTAGGACGAGGTACAAATTGGTTGCATCGGGACTGTTTTGCTCAAGCGAAACATTCCTGCTTCCCCACAGTCCCGTTTATAAAGGAAAAGTTATTTTTTAAATGCGATTAAACAGCGATTGCAGCAATTAGGAAATAGATTTATAATGAATAATATTTAGTTTATTTTATTCTTCCACCTGTAATTATATACCATTTCTGCTATTTTAAAAGATGTGTTTTCAGGTATTTCTTGGGTAAATGTTCACATTCCAATACGGGACACTTTTACAGTGGTGGTTAACTCCTTGGCTCCTAACTCTTCAAAGTCGGCGTTTCTGGAATATGATAATGCTCGAGGAGAGACAGTTCCATGTGGCTTCAGTTGTTTTTTCATGTCATTAATGTTTCATTTGCACTGCCATCTCTCTATAGGGAAATTTAAGAAAATGTCTGCAGGTCCCAGTAGAGCTCAAGTAAAAATCATCCCTGCATAAATGCAGTCTATATCTGTTTCCCATCTCGGTGCGGATTTTATGTCTTCAATTAGACTAGGTAGAATTACCCATTCTTTGCTCCTACTCAGAGCAAATAGATCAACTTACATAGTCTTTAGGATGCGTTTGTGTGAGTGACAGTGGAATGACATCTATTGAAAGCAGAGATCCTGATAAAGAGATCTTTGATTGCCACTGAGTAATGGATGTGCAAAGAATGACAGACAGGTCATGATCTTTTCTTCAATGGGTACCTGAATACCTCTCAAAGTTGCTCAACAAAAACGTTACAGGGCCTGGGACAGTGATTCTGACCACAAGGTGTCACTATAGTACAACACAAGACTTTCTCCTTGAAGCCCTGAGCTAAAAATAGCCTGCTGAAGTCAGGACAAAGATGAGAGAGAGAACTTTCAGTAGAAGCCAGTACCTTAAGTCAGTCCAGCTGTGTGTGTTTGTGTATGCCTAAAGCGTGCCAGATTAAATAAGAGGGTTCCAAAGCAGCCAAAACAGTGTGTAAAAACCGGTCCAGACTTGCTCATTTAGTAAATGAACTGAGACTGTTGACATGAGCTGTGTAGAGCTGGGTATCTGTATTTGAGACACACGTGGCAAAACATAGAAAACATATAGCACCTGTCAAATTGAAATGGTATTCCATAAAAATGTTATAAGAGTAAAGACGTTACAAATATTTACAGCCTCCGGGGGTAATACAATGCATATACAACTGAAATTTAACTCCCATGCTGAGGACAGAGGAGAAATACTGAGAGCAATTGAAGATCTGAAGACCTGTTAAGTCATTTATATGAATGAGTTAAACTCAGTGACCCAGTCTGTAGACAATCTGCAGTGTTTCTTTTGAAATCGATTCAACCATATCTTCTAACCTCATATTATGAACACTTTAAAAACACATTAGACATAGGGGAGTTAAAATACATTCAGCTTCATCATTTATTTTTGCTGGCTATAGCAATAACTCTATACGTAACAATTCCTTTGTTAAATAGATTGATAATAACAGCCTCATAAGTTTCACTGCCTATTTGATCTACCACTGAATTTAGATGCTCCTTATTAGGACACAGAAAAAATCCCCTTTTCCTCTCCATGACACTCCTTCTCCCTCCTTTGTTTTTCTGGGCATAGTTAATGTCCTAAAATGGTGTTATTGTTTTACTGTGGCATGATTTATAAAATCCTGTGGTTTTTCATCTGAACTGTCAGTGACTTCATTTGAGCATTTCCTCCCAAAGGGTCGTGGTTTGGATTATGTCCCCTTTGCATTTTTTCCAATACACTTGGCACTTGCCGTCATGTTTCTGGGAATTTGCTTGTGGTCAGAATGAAACTAAGAGTTACAGAAAGATAAACTACCTTAGAAAAAAAAGAAGTGTGACCTCTGAATATTTGGAATGCTGTGGGAGGACAGCACACATTCACTCAGACTCACACAGACACACCAGCTCAGAAAAACCACCTAAACATCCATATTTGACTTTTTTATCGTTTTAGTAAATGTATTTGTTTTAACAGAAGTGATACCTAAAGTCTCTGTGAAGTATGAGTTTACAGCAAGGCAGAGATAAAATCTGACACAACCCTGCAGTGTTTGGCCTCTGATTTTCTTCCCGAAGAAAATGCATGACAAATAATAACAAAAAAACAAAGGTTTTTGAACAGTCTTCTTTAAAGCTGCGAAACACTACCAAAATTGTGATTCAAAAAGAAGCTTTCATCCTTATCAGCAAATAAAGTGGGGTATAAAGCATGTCTCTCTTTGTTGGAGGAATCCAGTCCACATTTATCAGTCTCTTCAACTGTCACTGGCTCTTTGTCTTAGAGTCCAAAATGCAAAAAAGATGCTCTTACACACACAAAAACAAAATTGAGCACATTCTGACACACTGCACTCCATCCAATTAGTTGGTCTCATATAACAGCATTCCACTGAAGATGGTCAAAGGTTCAGAAGAGTAGGCCAGCTTGCCAGTTACAAGGTCGATGCAGACCGTTTCCCCTGCTTCCATAGGCAGGATGATGTTGAAAACAGCTAGAGCTCCAGGGATGTGTTTGGCCTCAGCCATGGGCTTCTCCAGGCCCTCAGGCTGGTACCCTGCTGAATCCACTCGGACCACTCCGCTGTTGGACTTAGACAGCACCGCCTCAATCTTCATGTTTTTGTGACCCGTCAGGATGCCACTGAAGAAGTACTTGCCCCGTACGGGTGCTGTGAACAAACCTAGAAGACAGAGGCGTAGTTTAGGATGGTGCTAAAGCGTTGGATTATGCATGGCTATAGAAGGATCTTTTTTCGGCCTATTTTAGGTCATTAACACAAGAATCGAGGCATGGCTTGTTGCCATACCTCAGCTCTGATTAAGCTTGAGGCTGAAAACAATTCTATTTAGCTGTGTGTGTGAGACTACTAAAAGGATTTTATCTGTACTTTTAATTTTCTTTTTTCACTTTTAATTTATTTGATCAATTATTTTTTTTGTCTCTCATTTGTTTTTCTTTATATATATATATTTATATATATATATATATATATATATACAAATTGCCGGTACGTGGTGTGATGGTTAGCACCATCACCTCACAGCAAGAAGGTTCTGGGTTTAAGTCCCGGGGGGAATCCGGACCTTTCTGTGTGGAGTTTGTGTGTTCTCCCTGTGTCTGCATGGGTTCTCTTTGGGTTCTCTCTGGGTTCTCTCCGGGTTCTCCGGCTTGCTCGCACCATCCAAAAACCTGCATGTTAGGTTGATTGGCCATTCCAAATAGCCCTTAGGAGTGAGTGTGAGTGTGTGTGGTTGTTCGTCCTTGTGTGTCTCTGTGTGACCCATCCAGGGTGTACCCTGCCTCTAGCCCATCGGCCACTGGGATTGGCACCAGTTCCCCCCGCGACCCCATTAGGGAATAAGTGGTTACGGAAATGGATGGATTTTATAAATTGGACCTGTGCATTTTTTTAAAAGTTTTTTTTATTGTTTGTATTCCTATATCTTTATTCTGTCTTGTGACTGTTTGGGCAATTTTGCTATGAGATCAATAAAACAGTCTTGAATTTTGTATCAACATCTCCTCTGTATCTCCTCATGAGTGAAAAGTATGTGTAACAGCACACATTAGTAGAGATCAGAAAGTTATTGAATATATATATATTTTGCTTGAACATATTCCATCTTTTTAATGTACTTTTAAGATTATTTCAAATATTCTCAGGTTAAGAAGCTAGTAAAGGTCCAAATAAGATTCTGAGTTGAATAATAAAATCTCTTTTTAAAACCCACTTGTCTTGATTAAACAAACCTTCTTAAGTTAGATAGATACAAAAATCAGCAAAGACAATGTCAAATGACTTGAGAACAACCTAAATTCCAGCAGGGCTCACCTGTGCTGGGGTTGTAGGCGTTATTTTCATTTACAAAGATGCGGTTGAACAGTATGGTTCCTGAACTTCTCATTGGGCGAGTAAGTGCAACAGAGAATGAAAGGCGTGGCACCTGAGCGTCGGACCCTGCAGGACCTGATGACAGAGCAGAGTTAGTGTGAGTTAGTGTGAATTAAAGATCAAAGAGTAGTAAGGCTTTCATCTCTTGTTGATAAAGAACACATACCCTGTTCGCCTCTGAGACCTGGAAAGTAAGATGAAAGATAAAGAAAATAATGAGTTAATTATTCAACAATACAATTTATGCTGTTTATTTTGATTTATCATATAAATGCAAAAAGATCCGACTAACAACATGTAAAACAGTAGATGATAATGTCTTCAACTGAATTTGCTTTTACCAGGGGGTCCCACTAGTCCCTGCTTGCCATCTCTGCCTGGAGGTCCCACCCTCCCTTGTGGTCCAACAGGACCCTGGTTTCCACGTTCGCCTCTCTCTCCTCGGGGTCCTGGTAGACCTGGTGGACCTAGAGTGGTGGAATTTTTCATGAGACAGCACACCAAAGAAATACCGCTCTGAAAACCTTGTTTACCACTGATAAAATCTCTTGGGAGGATCCCAAAAACAAGCGCAGCCAGCCAAGAAACTCCGGACATTTAACCTGGACTGAAGATATGCCTTTCACACTCATGTTTATCAAAACATCTCCTTCACTTTATAGGCTTCTAAGTGAATTCTTTCTTTGGTCTGTGTTAACCTCAGCCCTGACTAAAAGTTAAATCCCATGGCCCCATCCTCTGTAACTTACCCTTAAAGTCCTGTTCTGTGAAAATGTGGAACTGTCTGCCCAAATCCAGCACTGAAGAGTTCAGCATGTGTATTTTGGAGTGGACATTCTCCAGCTGGACATTCTGGATATTGTCAATAAGAACTCCTTGAGACGTCACTGTGACATTGAGTCCATTAACGCAGCTCCACAGGCCAGACACATGTCTGTTCAGGCCCTCCTTAATCTTCTCTAGGCTATTTGAGAAAGAGTCAAGCCGGCCACAAACTCCCTCCAACTTGGAGAGTCTTCGGTTCACGCCATCGCTGGACTTTCGACACTCCCCAACTTCTGTCACATAGTTGCTCCTGATTATTTGGATTTCTTTGCCTAGACTGTTGAATCGAACTCTCGAGTCGTCAATGTGCTCCGTCAGTTCGTTTTGCAAGCTGTTCACCTTGAACACACAATACAGATGTCTTAATACTGTATATATTTTGGACACTTGTGGAAACTTATGTGTGCAAAAGCACTTGACATAAAAATAAGACATTTTTAATCTAAGACAGGCATGCACATCTATGTTATTCAAAAACATTTTAATTACTTAAATTTCATATGGAAAAGATTGGATGTCATCCTCTGCATGTATAGTATAAAGGAAAAAAACAAACAATGCACATTAGTCTAATTTATAATATTGTCCTTTTTCCTGCCAAATCTCAAGTATTGTGTTTAAAATGCAACATCACGGAATGGTTTTCAACCTTGGATTTGGGATAATTACACACGTTTCAAGATAAATCAGAGGGGGTCATAAGATATTCAAGGGAAATGGTGGGAGTGTGGAAAATGTGTGCATAAATAGATACTTTTCAGAATTTTCTCTAATTTGACAGTTTTTTTTTAAGCCGCACTAGCAGTTTGGCTCAAAGCATGCCATTTCGTCAGTTCATCACTCCTATTTATGTAGCCATTTGATGTATTAACAAGGCATTTTTGGAAGCCTAAAAATTAAAGCCAAATACACAATTTTCATCAATTATACGCAAATGTGTGGAAAAACATTGTATTTTTGCCAAATACTTGCAAAACTAATGACGCTTATTTTCTACTTTGAATTAAATTCAAAATGTAATGATTCTTTATTTTGCCAGACTTCAACTTTACTTTAATGTGTTAAAAATCAGGATTTAATGATAGTATAGTTTAGTGCCAAAATATAAGCTCACCTCATTAAAAAAGCTGTCTTTGGTGTTGGTCAGATCAGATAGTGTATTTCCATGTGTCTTGATAGTCCTTCCCAGGCCTTTCAGAGTGTCATTAATTGAGTTAAATGTGATCATGACCTGAGCCAGCTCTCCTTGGATTGACTTCAAGTCACCTCCCATCCTTCCACTGTGGACTGTATGACCGTCCAAACGATTCCTTAGATCATTTATGTTGAGTTTACACTGGCCTGTGCATTCCTCCACTTCCTCTCTGAGTCGGCCCACCTCTTCCTGAAGGTTGGAGCAAACCTGAGAGCAGGCAGATTCTCCTGAGTCCACTTTTTTTCGGAGGTCCGTCAGTTCTGTCTGGCACCTGCTCAGGCCGCTCCTGGTGGAGTTGGTAAGCAAGCTAAATTCCTGCTTTATCCTGCGGCAAACAGAACAGTCCTCGAAGTCCCGGCCCAATGTGTCGACGACTTCTGTGACAATCTGGTTAAAGAGTTCACCATTCTGCCCTGTCACAGCTTTTATCTTGCTGATGTCATTAGTTAAGTCGATCACTCTGTCAATGAGGGAGTCACCTGTCTCTGACAAATTGTTCAGCTTGGTACTAAACTTTTGGATCTCTCCTTGGTTGGAAACCACTTTCCACTCCAACGTTTTCACTGTCTCATCTGTTGTCTGGCCTTTTCCATTATGACCGCAGGTCTCATTGCACTTTTTTGTGGTTGCTGTTAGCCTCCTGTCAAGGAAGGTAGTGACATTCTCCAGCTGGCTTAAACGTCGACTGTGATCTGTCACTGTATCCCCTAAAACATTCAACTCGAGGTCTATTTTTCCTATCTTGAAGCTGTGGTCATCCAGCCGACTGAGAACCAAGTTGCGCAGCTGGGTGAAATCTCTCTGGATGGTGTCCTTCATGTTGTTCGCAGTGTTTGTGCACCTCTGCTCTGTTTTCCTCACCGTATTATTCACCCTTTTCTCTATCTCTCTCAGCCTGCTGCTGAACCGTTCCTCTGTGACTTTTCCCTTCCCTCCACCTGTTCCGGTCAACTCCTTATCTAGCCACCCTTTAATGGTGTCGCACTTGTTCTCTGTGGATGTGACTCGGATGTTGACATCAGACAGTCTTTTTTCCAGCTCTGTGACCGTATTGCAGCAGGCCTGGGAGCGCTCGGTCTCACTGTGGGTGATTTCCATGTTTTGCCTCAAGTACTGGTCAATGGAGTTGATCCTCTTCTCCAGGGCTCCGATCCGTTCCCTGTCCTCCTCCTGCTGTCGCCTCAGGTCATCCACACCAGTCTGGAGGACAATAACACAACAAGATCAGCATCTCTCGGTCAGATCAGGTTTTACACGCAAATAACAATACAAATAACAATTTATTTACCGTGATTTCAACTTGATCAGTATCTTAAAGCGTTTAAATGATTTCTTAGATGAGAGCTTCAGTAATTATGATGACCTTCAAGTGACTGTAGTATACCTTGCCATGTATTTAGATAAACTATGACAGCCTTTCATAGTTTTTTCATTTCCTTTTTAATTTCTCTTTCAGTGCTTGATTATAAATCTTTTCTTTCCACGTTAATGTTTTTTTTACTGTTTGTTTTATTATTTGTTTGCACAGTGGTTTAAGCCAGAGGTCTTTTTTCTTGTGTTACAGCCTTCATGAGACCATTACCCTTTACCGCTTTAGGCAGCAGAAATCATTTGCAGAGCCTCATAAGGAGAGAGGCATAAACATTTTACAGCTTAACAAACCAAGGGCCATATGAGTAAAGGATACACACACACAAACACAAAAACAAACCATTTGAATGCCTTTCCTAAATGCAAAATAGGATTTAGAAAAATAAAAAGTCATGCATCTTCATACTAAAAGTACATGTATTTTCAGGACACTCAAGACAGGTTTAAGATAAAGTCAAAATAGGAGTGTCTTTATCAATTACAGATAATGATCTCATACATCAAAGACAACGTCAATTATTTTTTTTCGTTTTTATTTTTTTTCTTGACTTTGAGGTTTTCTTCTGGAACAACAGAGATGAACACTCCTGTTTCTCTTTTCTGTTCATTAGTTTTTGATCTATTTGAGGTTTTGGAGGGCAGTCCCAATTAAAACAATCTCTTCTGGCCCATGCCTTGTGTAAATAGTTTCACTTGGATCAAAATTTCTAAAAACAGCTATGCAAATATATAATTTTGTTCATCTGGAAAAAGGATAGATCCACACATTCATACTAGTATTTGTGGACAGTTTCATTTCCAATCTACAGTTTTATCCATAAAATAAATGGGACTTTTTCTTGTGCCTATTTGTGTATTGACTGTGATCGTCACCTGGCAGGAAGAGCAGGACAGAGAAACTCTTCTCTCCAGCTCTGTCAGTATCTCCTCTTTCAGTGTATTTAGCTGGTTCCCTGCTGCTCCTCCTCCCTTGCCTGTGGTTCCATCCAGTTCATTGCCTCCTCCATTCACCAAGTGGTTGTTGATAGTAAGCAGGGTCTGATCATGGACCTAGTTAACCAAATACATGATTTTTTTTGGTGCATTGTATATGAATTATACATGTCTTAGCAATCAGAGGTAAACACAGGCTTTATGGTTACCTGTGTTCTGTTATAAAGATGGTCCAGCTTAGTTTGAATGGTGTTAATGGTTTCCTTCATGTGTGGCTGAGCCGAATCAGCAGGGACTATAGCGCCACTCAGTCCAGGCCTGTAAAGTTAAAAGGTTTAGATTTCCACAGGTTTGGTAGAAGTGTGCCTCAAGCTAAAGATTAATGTTAAGCAATCTATAACATAAAAGGAAGCTATCACTTCAGTTTATCCACATGGATCCTGTAAACTTGGGATCTGAAGTGTGGAGTGAGACGCAGAATACACAAACTGTAGTCCAAAATGGGCTGATTCTGACATTTATTTATGCAACATCCTACTCAGCTGTTGTTGAGAATGAACTATTTATGTATATTTTAACAAAAAAGGATAGCCTCTCTTAATAAACTGACCTACCGCCATAAACATGGACACACAGGAAATTATACACAGTGAGCCTAGAACGGAAAAGTGCGTTTCCTGAATTTTGTAAAACAGCATATCAGCATGCAGGGGAAGGCACTTCATGCAGTAAAACACACAGTTTGATGTATTGACATTTACATACAGCCTTTGGTTGATTCCTTGGATGGTGGTCTGCATGTTGTGAAGGTCCTTGGTCAGACCGCGGATGGTGTCCTCCAGCTGCTGGATTCTCTCTCTGTCACCTGCGAAAATAAAAAGGAGGAATTAAGAGTCAGAATCTAAATGGAAAAGAAGTTTGCAAAATGCGAACTCAAGTAAAATATATAAACACATTCAAAATATTTTAATTGTTAAATAAATTCTTTAAATCTGACAACAATTTGCAACGGGGTGTTTAATGTACTCAACTGTTGACTTCAGTACAAAGAAGCTAATTCAAATTGGAAAGTCTCAATGGGCTTTTTTCCTCCCTGGAAAAATGTCCAAAGTGTGGTTGGGCTTACTCGGAAAAACTGATGTCATACACTTCCAAGCACCGTTCACAGTCAGCATCAAAGCCTAAAGACCATTTGAGGATTACTTGCTGTTGCTGCCAACATCATCAGGCATAAATGATAAAACCTTATATTTTCTTGTGCTTTAGGGGTGCTTTTCACAAATTCACATTCATTCACTTTTTACCATTAAAGTGTTTCATACCCTTTCACAAAATGAAGCACATCAAAAAAGAGTTAATTACATTAATTTTGAAAGTCATACCTTCTCCTCCCCTCTGTCCACCCCCTGTGTTGTAGTTGGTGTGCGTGATGTGAGATCGACCTCCATTGACTTGAGTGTCGGGGGTTCCCTTTGGCCCATCATGACAGTCTTCACCCGAGTAACCATGGCAACACTTCCACTCCATTTCTGTCACCATCTTGTAAGCTACCTTGTACCTTGGTCTCCTGTATGTCCTATAGCTGAGGATAACATAAAAAAAAAATATTTCTATTCAACAAGAAAGCCTTTGCAATTAAGTATAAGGTCTTGACTTAAATTTTGTATTGTTCTTTCCACCGTAGGAATATATCAATATCTTTGTGTCAAAATGTGACAAACCCTTTCCATATATAATATACATATGATAGTGATCGATTCATCTATAAAAGCACAAGTTTTCACCGGCCGCTTTGAATGAATCAGTCCTTAGTCAGTTCAGTGAGAGTAATGAAGACAGTAAAAGTAAAAAATTATGTCAACCTAAAAGTTCTCCCATTTCAAAAAGCCACATCAGTTCATATCAACCTACCACAATTACGGAGAGGATGTCTAAAATATGCGAAATGGATAAATAGCACAAAATATTACTTTTCAACCTGTTAAAATCTATCAATAAGTTACCATTTTAGTGATGTTTTTTAATAAAATATCAAATAGTGCAGTAGAAATACTTCATCTCATTCAGGTTGAAAACAAAAGTTTGACTTTTCCTGAGGACACTAAACTATCTCTCATTGTGATATGATGACGGGGCCACACAAAATGTTGTATGTTTCAGAGAAAGCCATGAATATGCCTGTAAAGCTAGTAAACAAACTATTTGGAAGCATTGCTCTACAGTCAAAATGAGTTTAAATACTTGCAATCCAAGTCTTTCTGTTTGACAGATGCTAGTATTAAAACAACTAGGAGCTGTGGTTAATTATTGACAAAAGCACAAAGGAGGAAACTTTGGTTAGTCCACTGAACAGCCCTCTATAGAGAATTTGCCAGTTGCGACAGCTTGATAAAAAGCAGTGTATGCCTGAAAGGTCCTAAAAGAAACATGTTTCAAATGGTGAAACAAATTTTAAATTAAAAGCATTAAAACTTTTTTTTGGCAAAAGTATACATGTGTTTAATATATTTTACCGTCAAATGTAAAAATGTACTTGCGAAAGAAGACGGGTGAGCTTTTTTCCGTAGCTTTAGAGGTCAAAACATGAAAGATTTCAGATAAATCTCTCATTTATACTCACTTTCTATCAGAGTTTATATGATCTTCAAGTTAAAGCATTATTGCCATAACTGAAATAACTTGTTAAATATACCTGTTGGGGGCTACCACTGATTTTCTATCACACACACAGACTCTTGTCTACTTAATAAACTCACTTGTTTGCCAACAGTGAATGTTGCCATTTTGATAAGGCAACCTGAAATCCGTCTTACATGATAAAGGCAAGAAGCTATGTGAACAGCAATGTTGATATGTTGATTTCTAAATCTGTCCTTTTGTACCATACTAATACATCCACAGGTGGCTGTAGCTTAAGAAGAGAGGTTGTTTGCCAGCTAAAAGGTTTGTATTGTGGGTCCTCAGACCTCATGACCAAGCAAGAGACTGATGCCCACGTTGCTTCTGTTCATTTATGTGTGTAAAACACTGAGAAGCACTGCTTAGCCTGTAACACTGTACAAACAAAGAGTTTTTTAGTGAATGAGTGAAAGTGGCTTGTAGTGCATCAGCTTGAGGGGTCAGCATGTCTAAAAAAAGTGCCATAAGTGCTATATAAATAAAGTATGTTTACTGAACTGACAGAGCCCCTCCATCATCTTAGTCTGTTTAAATTCAAGCAAAGTGTGCCTGACAATAGCAGTACTTGAATATTTAGCTCTGTCATTTCTAACTTTTTTGTAAGCTGACATAAGTATTTAGCTCGAAGTGCAGCTGGGTCTTCTGGTAACTCACTGTGACACATGCAATGAAAGTGTTTCTTCATCCAATTGATTCATTTCAAACAGCCAACTTGGGCCTAATGACATGACAAGATCTAAGATTTGTGAGACGTCTTGATATCCAAGCCAACAACCCATAATGGCTCCTGAACTTAGCGCTGAACACTAACTCTGCTTTGTGTACTTTGTGACGGGATTAAAAGTACTAAATAAACTTTCGATATAATTTTTGACTGTGCATTTCAACTTAATATCTGAGAGAAATAAACTGTATTCATCTGGAACTAAATCGAAATTTTGCATTAATCTAATATTTCCAAGAAAAAAAAACTGTTTTATCTGGAAAGCTGAATTGTAGTTTTATCATAAATGTGTCATAAAACTCTGTGAAGAAAAATACTCCCAGTTGCAGTAAATAGACTAGATTTGGCCAGAAGTCTTAATAAGATTTAAAGCATCATATTCAGGCTTACAATCCTTAATCGTGAGAAGCTTGCAAATTTGTCCCCTCTATGCCAATCAAGAGCGTTCTTGGTGTTATAAAAGAAAACGAAGTTGACAGTGACAGAGAAATTGGTTTATTAGAGGAATGGAGGCGGTAAAGGAAGATGAGAGAAAGGGGAAAAAGGGGAGAGAAGAAGCACAGACGATGTAAGAGGAAGATAGCTTTTTACTGTTTTCACACGGAATGGACGAGACTGTGGTGCCTAGAAACAGAGCTGGCTTCATTCTTGACATAGCCAAGGTTTATATTGAGACCTCTGGCAGGCATGAGGATCAAGCAGCCATGCTAAGGTGAAAACACAATGAAAACTTCAAAAGAGGCAAAACGTCAGCTTTTGAAAGAGGTTTTCTTGCAAGCAGAATATCCACATTCGGTAAATCACCTACCAAGTCCTATTTATAGCAAAGCTACAGCTGGAAATTTTAATAGTGGATGTTCTAAGGGCTCCTTTAAAGAGACTGAAAAGCTCCAGCAACACGTAAAACGAGAATTTATTAACTGAGGTAGGCAGTCAAATATGGAGCTAAAATCTTGTAGCTACCGACTCTCTGACTACATATACGCCCAGCTGCAACCAGACCCCTTTTCTGTCTGAGCAGGTCATTTAATACTCTGTGAAATCAGTGTCTGTGGAGAGGAAAGAGGGGCAGATGAAGGATCATTTGAGGATACAAATTCTGAGGTCAAGCAGTTAGAATAAGCAATGTTGTATAACATTAGAATCCGGCAGCAAAGATGGAGAATTAGAGAGGACGATGGGGTACAAGGAAGGACATTTACTTACGCAACTCGGGGACATTGGCCCCATGTACAGCGCTGATAGTCTGGTTTGATGTACGTCTCCACTCCATCCTCCATCACGCAGCTGACTGTGCGCGTCACCACATAAGCACACCAGTTCCTATTAAACGCACACACATACAAGTGGGATGAGGAAATGTCAAATGGATAACTGCGATAGATGTCAGTTCGGACTAAGGCGTTGACAAAAACATTGCAGCTCTTATATACAACGCTCTGATACACTCAGTATACACTGGTTCAATTCTGTTGTTTCCACACAAAAAAAGGAAACAAAACATTGATAAAAAAAATTCTGGCCATTTGCTGATTGTGAGACTCCACCACAAGTTTTGAGATCAATATCTGGAACTTGATTATTATTCTCCATGACACTCAAGAGAAATGGGTGCAAATGTCAGATCAGTTCAGGATAACTGTTGGGTCTCATTTGGTCTCAACAAAGGGTTCCATTGTATTGCTTTTCCAAGTCTACATTAGCCAGCCCCCACAGACACAGATACACACACTCTCACACAACCCTCATTGTAGTATTTCTGTATATCATTGTAAAATACTACCACTCGTCATACTCAAAACACAAAAACACATTTCCTCCTCTCACAGATGTTCTTCTCTGTGTTGAAATGCCCAAACTCAGTTTCTCCTATCTGTAAAAGTCACTTTTCTTGACAAAACCTACATTTATTTTGTTTTCATGTGAAAAGACACTCTTCTCATATGAGTCCAGTGAACTAGATGAAAGGTAAACATTGCTTATTACACTAATTAATGAATGAGTCAATTTATTTTAGACACAATTTTTTGGAAATTTCTCAAGGATAATTAAAAACTCCCTCTCTCTGTGTTTTTTCATTTGCTTCTGTTCCGTTGCTATAGCAGAGAAATTAACAATAGCTGACAGTGCACAAAGTGATAAACTGTAACACATTTCCCAAATGTTCTTCAAAGCTATCTGCTTCAACTGCTGAGTTAAATTAACCAAACTAATATTGGCAGTGCCATTATTGATCATGTCACAAAGCAGCATCAACAATAAAGAGAAGAAAAACGGTTGCCACATACTGTTTGCATAGGTGTCTGTTTGTGTTTACATGAAAATATCAATCTCTCAGCCCCCCCAGCGAATGATGTGGATGGGAATCTTTTGCCACAGAGGAATGCAGTATTTTAAAAATATTGGCTTTAAAGATTGTGTTGAATAAATGCTGAATTAGACCCAGCCGACTTCTTTAAACCAAAGCTAAAACAATTATACAGCATAGATGAAAACTACTGAAAACAACTGTATTGAATTATTTGAATTATTTAAACGCTTTACCTCCATCTAGAGAAATGTCTTTGTAAATCATGACTTCTGTTTTTTTCAAAGCAGAGCAAAGCTAACTGACAAACAATAGCACCAACACAACCAACAGCAGTACACAATGACATGTGTGTAGATATACTCACAAAGCCTCAGTAAAGTTGTACAAACATGGTATTAGCTATGTATGATACAAATTTACTGGATACAATTATGCCATTTGATATTTTTTTATGTTTCACCTTGAAAAGGTTGTTAAGACTTTGACTTGGCTATCTAGTGCAAAAATTAAATTAAGAAGAAAATTATTATTATACCCATATCTAACAAATCAATTATACTGTGCTGTTAGCATGATGTCTCTGTAGTTTCCCTATGGAGTAGCAGATTATATAAGAATTCATTGCAAAGAGGCATGGCTTGCTTGTGTTTACAAAAAATAAAGTGTAACTAAGTTCTCTGGATAAGTATGCATTAAACATTCTCTTAAGGTTTGCAGGCTGCGCAGTGTGCCTTCATCACCTTGGACTCCCTTGACCCGCAGATGTCTCTCTCGATAAGAACAGGAGAAACATTTAAAGACAGACAGACGCCATTCATTCGCTTTCTATCATCATTTTAATATTACCTACAATGCCCATCCACTGCTATTTCCCTGGTTATTATAGCTTATTAGTGTCACCGATTCATCTGAGCAGAGTTATCAAGGCCTTACAGATAAAAGTTGGAGCAAACAAGGAGTTCCTTCATGCTAGAAAGTCGGTCGGTCAGCAGCTGTCTGTCAGTGTATTTCTCCCCCTCTCTCTTTGATTATTTTTTTGTTAACTTATTCCTCTCTTGCTACATGTTCTTCTTCTTCGCATGACTCCTTCAAAAATGTTTTAGGCTTCACTTGTGTTTAGTTAATTTCACCGGTCACATTTTTCTTGCACCTGTTTCTCTCTGTGTCGGTCTCTGTTTATCATCTGGTTCTCATTTCTCCTCCCTTTTTTGTTTTCCTCACTTTTTCTTCCATCACACAGAGTACTACCCCCCAGACTCTCCCCTTCATACCAGAGCTTGTTTCACCGACACGAAAGGGTTATCATGTTGTGATCCTCTCAACCCCTCATGGCCTCCTCCACATGACCTATTGCTACTGAATGTGGGAATGTGAGCTTAGAGCTAGAACTGGAATTTTTCAGTGACAATATACAACATGTAATATACAGTATATACATACATCTTATTTTCTTTTTTCTGATTTTTTGGGGGTTAAAGTACCTGCTAAACTCAAAAGAGGTATGCTATTACACATTAAGTTTAAATAATAATTTCTTCAGAAAACATGTAGAAATGACTAAATTTTATTGTAACCAAGTGAATGAGTCAGGTGCTACCCCAGGTAGAGGATTAAAAGTACCTCAGGGTCTTGGTTATGTGTGAAGGAAGCATGGAAAGGGAGATAATTCAGCAGATAAGTGAAGCAAATGCAGTGATGCATTTGTCAGTTATTGTGAAGAAGGGGTTGATCCAAAAGGCAAAGTTTTCGATTTACCGCCCACTGTACGTTCCTACCCTCACCTATAGTCACGAGCTGTGGGTAGTGACCGAAAGAACGAGAGCACTGGTAAAAGGAGCTGAAATGAGTTTCCACAGCAAATTGGTCAGGTTCTACCTTATAGATAAAGTAAAAACTTTGGTTATCTGGAAGGGGATCAAAGTAGAGTTGCTGGTCCAGTGTGTGAGGAGCCAGAAGAGGTGGCTTGTATACATCTGGTCAGGGTGCCTCCTGGACACCTTCCTGATGAGGTGCTCCAGGCACATTCCACAGGTAGGAGGCTCCAGGGAAGAGTCAGGAAATAACAAGAGATGCTGTCACCCGGCTGACCTAGGAACGCACCAGATGAGCTGGTTAATGTTGCAAGAGATTTCCCACAAATTCAGCTAAAAGGGGGACTGTATTTTGTTTTTTATGTCAGTTGTATAATTGTATTTCTACATATTTATCTCCCAAACCTTTAAGGCTGGTCTCTGGAAACCAGTCCATGTTTTAAACAAGGTTAAATGACTCTGTAACTTACTTACAGTGTGGTGTAAGTGAGCCAATTTTATGCTAATTTATGATGAAGAAAACAAATAAAAAAGAAACATACTTTATGTCTCCCTGCTGTATGTGAAAAGCAAAAAAGCAATGACTGCTTCTGAAGTCCATGAAACAGAAAACCATTGATCAGTTTCACATAGTGAACAGTTTCACACATTCACGTCAGCCTTTGACTTGTTTGAAGAAAGCAGAAGTTTTGAAGATATTTAACTTTTCCTAGACATCGAACCAGATCCAGCCTGAAAATTTGGCAGAAGATTTTTTGTCTTTTCTCATCTAAACAGTGCTGTTGCTAGATTTGTGGTTCATTACATCGATCCAGTATCCAGTACGACATTCTGCTTTGCTGTCTTGTGGTTTGGTACAGTGTAGTCAATGTTTTCAATCACAGAACTCATCATTAAGCGCAAACCTCGGCTTTCCATTTCAAATCAGCCAATATTGGTATTCCAGAGCCTTGTGGTTCACTGAAGTTTGTCTTATTGCATTGTACTGAGAAAGGGTTCACTGGGCGAGCTTAGTCAGGTTCTTGGTTTATTGCACAACGTATTTCAGACACCACATGTTTTACAAGCCTGGCATCACCATCAGATGTTGAACCAACACAGAGGTGCGAGGGAACAAATCAGTCAGACAGCTGTTATAAATCAGAGTAGCTCAGTCACTCACCATAGCAGATAAAGCATGAGTTTGGTAATGCACACACACTATCTATTCTAATGCACAACAGGCACAGTTCTTAAACAAATAAAACATATCAGATTTTTTTCCTACTTCTGAGCAGACACAAATGTGCACATACAGTTGAACAAATTCACATGTTACAGGAGTAATTTTTGTCAGCTCATAGCATAAAGGTTGCAGATCCAACAGGTTCAGTTTTTATCTTTTTCTTCAGGATATTGTGTGAGAGATGCTTCTGTGTTACTAAATGTGCATCTAACCATAAATAGGTGTGTAGACACCATGTGTGCAGAGGCTGAAAGGCCTCATCACAATGGGCCTGGGTTAGGCGTTGGTTTAGACATTCACAATTGGACATAAAGGTCACTTGAGTTTTAACAGATTTCAAATCAACTTTAAAATACTCATGGAGAGAATACTTAGAATTCCAAACAAAAAACACATTCTGTATAAAAATGTAGTTTTCCTTTTGTGGATTTCTGCATGTTTCTGCCTCCAAACTAACAGTTGCAAACCCACTGACTTTTTTTCTTCATTATCTAATCATCATTAAGTTTATCATTAACAAGTGAAATTCCATGTATAGAAATGTTACAAGAAGTTACTGAAATTTGAATAAACCAACTGGTTATCTTATACATAAGTCTAAAATTGAGAAAAAGCATAATTACACACACAAATTAAGAAATCTGATTTCTTTGTTTGGTTCCTTGACAAAACATGGAAACAGACAAATGAATATATTTTTTCAAATGTAATTCAAGCAATATTTTCTACAAATTTTTTTTCTGAAAATGTTTTGACTTTATAATGCAAGAGGTCTCAGAAATCAATTTCTTGAATATGATACATACAGCATTGCAGGGTTTACCATATTCAACTAATCATATAAGTCTGTTTTTACAGCGTAACAGGATTTGTGATGCAGAAGTAAGGACTAAAATGTGCAAATGTGATTGTCGCCCACTGGAAAGATATTCAGCAGCTGTTCTGCCTTTTTCCTGTGTCACAGTGCCACTGGAAACAATGCAAATACAAAGGCCAGTTCCTTTGTGTATGTGTAAGAACAATATGTTTCTTCAGATTGTGTTGGAGAG